CTGTCAAAGGGAACTAATAGAAGGGGAGTCCACGACATTCAATGCCTTGTATTAGAGACAGAAATCTGCTAATAAGTGCCTTTCCAGTTTAAATATATGGACACAAAGTTCATCATTAACTTAGCGTATTAGTGTTTTTACAAATATGTTTAGGACTGCAGGCTTTCTTAAACGTCCATATAGACAGCCACTGAAGATCTATCTCAAATGTCACTCAATAAAAGTTGCAGTCCTACAGTAAAAAAACATATTTATCATTTTAATGTGAAATTATTTTTATTTTTTTTTGTTATTTTCTGTAATGCCACAAATTACAGTGAAGTTGATGTTGAGCTGTACCACACAGTATTATGGGATATGACAGTTAACAAGGTGTTAACATTTTAATAAAATGTTTTTATTCAGATTTTTCTTTCGAAGACTTTTATGTTAAAATTGCATGTTAAAAAATACACATTCGAGATATTCTGTGCATTTACATGCAAAACATTGTGAATGAATATATTCACTGATATTTTTAAATTAACATATTTACAGATCTGATAAGATCAATTTTTAATCTGTAAATTTACAGCAAATTACTGGCTACTGAGCTGCATTACTTTTACAGTTGTTATGTAGAAATACAGGGGATTACTGTATTTTAATTACAGCTTATTACTGTAAGTGTACAGAAGAATACAGCTATATAGTATTTGTCTTGTGGCGCAAGTGGCTATGAAGTCACAGTAAACAAGCAAATTACTGTAATTTTACAGTAAAATGTTTTACAGTGTGTCAAGTAGACCAAGACCAATACACCAAGATTTTTATTTGAACATTCAAAAATGGCCATAAAATTTAATTTTGACCATAAATGAGTGCATACTTTATTTCAATATCAGTACCAAAGTGGTAACTTTACAGGTGAAGGAAAGACATTTTAATGGAAGTTAATAGAACAAGGTTTGTTTCTTTGAAGCACTCATGAAATTTCTTTCTTTCTTCTATATAAAACCATGAACACTCAAGGAACCATTTGCATGCTTAAATAGTTCTTTGTATGGTAAATTGGTTCTTCATACTGATGGAGAATGTGTTGTTTATGGTTCTATTTAGAACCATATACCCCATATAACAAACAACACATTCTCCATCAATCTGAAGAACAATTTCACCATGCAAAGAACCTTTTAAGTGAAAAATGGTTCTTTGAGTGTTCATGGTTCTGTACAGACCCATTGCCTTTATGTGTAAACTGACTTATTTAAAGGGGAATTCCACCAATTCTGCATAATTGCATAACTGAGCTTTTGCAATGAAAAACAATTTATGTGCCACTTTTGTAAAAATCATATAGACATTGCTTGATGCCACCTATTTAAAATAAAGGGGTCACTGAAGCATAAATAATAGTTTGGCTTTTTAATTGTTGGAGGGGCTCAATTATTTCTGCATATTTCAACCATTAAAATGTAAATAAAGTCATTCAGAGTGGTTTAATATGAAATTCTGCATTGTAGAAAAACTTACCGACTCATAATTGTTCACAGTGGTAGTGATGGGAACCAGACGTCTGAAGAGTTTCATGCCTCTAAATTCCACCTCACAGAAAGTTATTATATCAAATGGTTATAGATACTTTGTCTAATGCCTGCAACACTGTTTTATGATAGTTTTGATACAAGGCTATGGTCTACAATGTATTTTTGGAACATATTCAATGTGGGTAAGGTGTAGTGAGGCAAAAGAAAACAAATTTTTTCAGGTTTATCACTATTTAACCATCATCAAGATTTCATATAAAATAATAATAATAAAATAGCTATATTAACATGCAGATGTTGTAACACTTGGTTCCTATCACCACTACGGTAAAGAAATTTAATTAGGTAAGTTTGTATTGGATGAACCATTTCACATCAAATCACTCTGAATGACTTTGCCTCAACCATTTAATTTTGCAGAAATTTTGAAAAATCAGTGGAATTCCCCTTTAATTAAAAAAAATCTTACATTACAATAGCGTTTTTAATGCTAGTATAGAATATTCTAACAAAAAGCAATAAGTTTATGAAAATGATGTGCAACTGCTTGTTTATTGTGAATTTAGAACAAACTGAAGGACAGAACTACAGAAATAAATACCCATGTTGGACAAAAGTGCACTTTGTTTATGTTGTTGTTGTTTATTTTTATCACTTATCTTTCTCACTTAAATCTCAGAGTGCCCAAGTGATTAAAGAAAGTAAATCAAAGTTGAGATGTTTATGTTGTTGAATGCAGTTGCCATGGTAACGCCTCTCTATTAATACTTTCTCCACAGTCGAAAACAAAATGACTCATCTCTTCAGACACGGGTCTGTCAGTAAACACGTCCAAAACTACTCGTCCTACTGATGACTAATGATAAATATTATCATAATAAGTGGGTGACACTGGCTTAATTACACTACAAAAAACATCATTCATAACCCAGACATGTCAAACGGTCCTCTTTATATAAAGTGCTGTGAAAAAGTATTTGTCCCCACCTGATTTCGTCTATATTTGCTAATTTGTCACATTTAAATGTTTCAGATCATCTAACTAATTTAAACACAAGGTAAAGACAACATGAGTAAACAAAACATGCAGCTTTTAAAAGATCATTCCATTTACTTAAAATGAAGATTTATTCAAAAGCTATATCACCCATGTGAAAAAGTAAATGCCCCCTTAAACCTAATAACTGGTTGTGCCACCCTTAGCAGTAACAACTGCAATCAAACGTTTGTGATTACCTGTGAGTCTGTGAAGGAATCTCGGCCCACTCTTCTTTGCAGAATTGTTTTAAATCGTCTGGAGAGTTTTCAAGCATGAACTGCCCGTTTAAGGTCTTGCCACAGCAACTCAACAGGATTCAAGTAAGGACTTTGACTCGGCTGCTCCAAAACCTTAATTTTGTTTCTTTTAAGCCAATCATGGGTGGACTTTCTTGTGTGTTTTAGATCATTGTCCTGCTGCATAACCCAACTGAGCTTGAGCTTTAGGTCACAAACTGACAGGCCGACATTCTCCTTCAGGATTTTCTGATAGAAAGCAGAATTCATTGGTCCATCACTTATGACAAGTTGTCCAGGTCCTGCAGAAGCAAAGCAGCCCCAGACCATCACACTACCACCGCCATGTTTGACTGCTGGTATGATGTTCTTAAGGTGGAATGCAGTGTTAGCTTTATGCAGAAATAATGGGGCCCATGTCTTCCAAGAAGTTCCACTTTTGACTCATCAGTCCACAGAATATTATCCTAATGTTTCTGGCAAATGCAAGACGGGCCTTTGTGTTCTTTTTGGTCAGTAGTGGTTTGCGCCTTTCAGCTCTCCCATAGATGCCATTTTTGCCCAGTGTCTTTCTTATAGTGGAATCGTGTACATTGACCTTAATTAAGGCAAGTAAGGCCTTCAGTTCCTTAGATGTTCGTCTGGGTTCTTTTGTGACCTCCAGGATGAGTCGTTGACGCACTCTTAGTGAAATATTGGTAGGCTGGCCACTCCTGGGAAGGTTCACCACTGTTCAAGTTTTCTCTATTTGTGGTGTCTCTGTGGTTTGCTGGAGTCCCAGAGCCTTAGCAATGGCTTTGTAAACCTTTCCAGGCTGGTAGATTTCAATGAATTTGTTTTGCATCTGTATTTGAATTTCTTTAGAACGTGACATCATGTGCTGCTTTTTTGAGACCCTTCTAGCCTGCTTCACACTGCCAGACAGGTTCTAAGTGATGTTCAGATTCAGCAGGTCTGGCTTTAATCATGTCTGGGTGTGGATAGTGAAATTGAACCCAATAATTAATTCAATTTGATTAACTGGTTGATTTAGTAGCTAAGGGGACAATTACTTTTTCACATAGGGCCAGGTAGGACTGAACAGCATTTTTCCTTCAATAAATGAAATCATCATTTAAAAACTTAAAATGATATAATATTAAAAGTAGTTTGATGATCTGAAACATTCAAGTGAGACAAATACGCAAAATATAGAAGAAACTGTGAAGGAGACAAATACTTTTTCACAGCACTGCACATAATAATCCATATACAATATTTATTTATTTGCCTGAAGGTGCATTTTTGACTATTTTAATTCCTACTAATATTTTACAATAGGCCGAATTGAACATGTGTGCTACACACATTTTAAAGACCCCATACTGTATATTTTTCTCCATTTTTTCCCTGATTTCAAATTGTAGCATTAGAGTGGTTTTATGTACAAAACCGGTCACAATTTGTTTTCACAAGAAGCAAACAGAATTAATTAGGCTGTTTTAGTCACTGTTCATTTAAGACTGAGACTGATGTAAATGAGCTTTGTTCCGATTGGCTAGCCTGTATTGTGCCTTCTTAAAAAAGCTGCATAGTCTGAAATCTACAGAACAAACTGCTAAATTCAGACAGAAATCTTCAGGCACCCCCTTTCGGAAGTGTGGACCCTTTGGATAAAGGTTCTTTGGATCCTTCCTGACAGCCATGAACAGCACAATGTTTGATAGAATCTGCAGTAACAACATTACTTCAACAGGGGCAAAGCTAAACTGCTGTAGGCTGAGTGAGTGGAGATAAACTGCTATAGGCTAAATGGATGGGGCTAAAGAGCTGTAGGGCGAATGAGTGGAGTTAAACTGCTGTAAAATGAATGGGTAGAGGGAAACTGCCGTAAGCTGAACTGGCAGAGCTAATATGCTGTAGGCTGAATGGGTGGGGCTAAAGTGCTGTAGGCTGAATGGGTGTGGCTAATCTGCTGTGCGGTGAAAGGATGGTGATATGTAAATCACAACAAAATTCAAAATGTTTTTCCAGATTTATTTCCATATGGGTGCTCAATGGACAGAGTACATGGATTTATTAGTCAACTAGCTTATGCAACTGTTACATGGTACCCAAAGGTGAGGTACATTTGTTTATTGAAGGTTAGGCCTGGAGCTTTCACTGGAAATCCAGTGTAATCATGACAAGATGAGCAGTGGAAAAGTGCATCTTTCTTACCTTCTGGAAGAGGCGAAAGAGAAGTGGGCGGGGCCACTGGGAGAAAAAGTACGAGGACTGTCCAGCGGACTGCTTCCTGTTTAGAGGAAGAGAAAAGAGAGTGGCCAAATGACCTTAAAACTCCTTACTCACTACATCCTACAGCTAACTATTCAGTAACTGCATGGACTACAATACAAACTGGCTGAGGTATTCTTAAGTTATAAAAGTGTGGAATAAGTGTTTGGTCATTTAAGGGGTTAAAGGTTAAGCCACGAGAGGCCATGTAGTCATTTAAAACGACTATATACAAAATACAATATGCTAAAATATATCAACGTTCAATACATAACTAATAAAAATCACAATAAACAACTCCTCTGTCAGGCACTGTAGTTCATTATCAGTGGGCTATGGTTGCCAAGCAAACCTAACAGTCAGAGATTATTCCTAAAGCACAGTGGTTTTTAATAACTCGCCTCATTAATATAGAATTCAACCACTGCACGTAGCTTTTCAGCAGCTCTGAATGTGGCTCAGCCCGTCAGAGTTTAGATCCCTTTTCATAATGCATATTAATAAACAAGCATCATAACTGAGTTTACCTATGTGTCCAGGTAGAGGCGAGTGTGGCCGCGGCAGAGTGGGCGATGTACTGGTCAGTATCAGGCTCTTCCTGTTACTGGTGCGACAGCTGTAACACACAGAAACAAACCAGGAGTAAGTGTATGTATGTGAGGGAGGTGGAGGAGCTGTTATTATATATCTCTTCCTGTTATTGGTACAGATAATGATAATCAATAACACAAAGAGAAAAGCATGAGAGAGCACTCTTCTCTGCATTAGTCTGTCAGCACACAGAGCACCAAAAAGGCCCCACCAACCAATGACGAACGTTTTCAGTTCGATGACACAAACGCAGCAATGCTGGATGGGAAGTGTTCAACCTGTGCTGTTATTTTGTGATAACAGCACTTTTTTATAAACAGTAACTGTATCAGTCTGCTGCAAAGTAAAGACTGTAGACATGACAGTGGAACAACTAAACAAACTGCAATTAGCTAAGAAGCTAACAGAATACAATTCAGCAAACAAGATCAACTGTAAATGCTTCACAGACTTGGTACAAACAGGGGTGGTCACTGTTCTAGGCCAGGGGTCGGCAACCCAAATGTTAAGAACAGCCATTTTGTCCCTTCAACAAAAATCTAACCACCTTAAGAGCCACAACATTTTATGTCCATTTTACCATCTTGTCTGTAAATGTGTCTCAGTGTGTGCTGATGTACTAGTACAGGCTAACAAGTGTAATATTAACAGAAATGCAGACCGACTTTGCTGTGCTTTAAACTTGAGCTCAGCTATAGCTGCTTTTCTCGCATCTCTGGCAGGAAACTTTGCCTCAAAAGTAGAATAGTTTCTTGTAAAATGTCTCTCAATGTTCGACTTTTTACGAGGCTGAAGTCGCTTCTCATTCACCAGCTTCTTGTTCGAATTTTTCCGTTCCACCTTAAAAGGTGCCTGAGGTGCCAGAATGGAACTGGGACAATTCAAAAAAGAAGTTGACTTCAGCTTCCCAACTTTTTTAGTGTCTGACAGTTTCTTGTTTTTCTCCTGACTTAATATCTCAAAATAATGCTGACTTTTCTCAAAATACTGCCTTAATATTTCAAAATAGTGATGAATTTTCTCAAAATAGTGATTTCGTTTCTCAAAGTAATGATGAATTTTCTCAAACCTTTAACCTTAGTATCCTGAAATAATGACTTCTCTCGAGAGTTTATGATACTATGTCAAAATAAGTTATAAAGTACGAAATTACTTTAGGATAATAACTCATTATTAAGAGATAAGTCACTATTCTGGCATAGTAAGTCGATATTTTGAATAAATAAGTCATTATTTAGAGATATTATGTCTAAATTTTGACATACTGCTGTTAGAAACAGAGAAGGAGGAAAAAATCTAGGTAATGTTTTTCTCCTCTATGTGGTGGGATGGGTTTCCATAGTAACTCCAGTAAACTCCAGAGCTCTATCTCAAAACAGGAAGTACACATCAGAGGTGCTGCCACAGCAACGACACACATTCATACCAGTGCAGGAAATAGAAACGCTGCAGTTGGCTAATTAGTACTTCATCAGCCAATCAGACGCTGCCTCAGACACAGCCAGAGTGAGTGCCAGTCAGTCTAATCAAACTGAGGAGATGATGATGCAATTATTTGAAAGTTCATTTACATAATTCACTGGTTTAAGATCTATCAGACAGCACTTCACTGCATATGTGTGTGTGTGTGTGTGTGTGTGTGTGTGTGTGTGTGTGTGTGTTGAGCTCTTTGTGGGGAATCCCCAGAATGATGAAAAAAATGAACACTGTGATGCTGTGGGGTATTTTTTGCAGGTCCTCATGAGGAAAAATTAGTTCTTGTACAAAATGCAGCTTTTCTTAGGAAAACATTTCTGGCAAAAGAAAAATATAAATTTTTTTTTTATGTTTATGTTTCACATGTTTTTATGTTTCACACTGTTTAAAAACTTATGAACATTTCATGATGAATGGATGAACAGAAATGGTCCAAAATGGGAGCAACAGAAATGGAATGATGAAAGTGGCAGCTGGCATTTTCACATTATGTAAATAACAACAACAACAACAAACAATAACCAATGGAGGTACAAGGTTTTGTTCCCACAGTGACGAGATATGGAATTTCATTTTTAACTGAAATTTAACTAAATTAAGGAGTAATAACTCTATTAAAGAGACTCTATTAGCAAGCTATTAGCATCACTTACTGGCAACAGTAAGTCCTAATAAGAAACTCTGTTCACTTTGCAGCCATCTTTGCAACGCCACTGGGCAGTTATTTCCAGCCATACAAGACCAAAGTCCTCTCCCCTTGAATGGAGGGAGACCTAAATACTCAAAACTGAAGGTCAAATACCGTTTAAAAACAGACTTGAAATCACCCGTAAAATCTAACAAAAACCTCATAAATCGTTCATAGCATTCGGCTCAATCACATACAAAAACACATTTTTTCGGGTTGTTCTGGCTACTGCACTTGTGCAAATCTCCACAACGGGGGGCTGGACTTTCTCTGCAAACAGACGCCATGTTGAGCATTATGAACGGTCTCATTCATATTTTAACCAGTGACCAGTCTCTTCATTTATAACGTCTCTGCTGACAGCTTTTGGTTGTTGTACAAAATAATAGCAGTAAGAAATGTCATGTTTTTTTTTTACTTGGTATAAAGAAACTAGTTGACACAGTCAAAAGTTGATGATTAAGCTTAAACTCACATGTGCATAAGTTCGCACGAACCGTGTACACCAGGGGTTGCACGGACTAGTCAACTAGCGCACTTTACAACATGGACGCCTCAGAGAAGACAACAGGTGAGGAACCTGGTGATTTCAGAGTTTATATTTCTGGTTCCCTCAAGGCTTGTTGGAAAGAGCATGCCACTCTCACTGACCTGTGGAGTTTGGCTTCATTCTATCATTTCTCCGCCAATGCTTCAAAGATCAGATACTGAACGCCGTTGTCTCCAGTTTCCCTAAGACTACAATAAAGAGTCCTGTGTGGTTAGAGAGGGGGTGTAATACCTCACAGTCCTGTAAAGTTTGAAGTCTCTTACTCTTATTTTCACCAAGTTCCCGTACTCTAAATTTCTCTTGCTCTCTGGACCTTCACCGCAGGCCGCCTGGGGTGTGCCGAAGTCAGATACAGTTTTGTGAGATTCCAGGGTCCATATCTCCGGTTCCCTGAGCGCTAGCAATGCTAGTTGGAAAGGTCTTGTCATGCTCCACTGACCTATGGAGTTTGGCTTTGTCACGGATTTTAAAAGTCTCTTGTTGCAAAGCATTTCCTTCTCTTGAGGTTTTATTCATGACGTCATCAGCGATGAGTCAAACGTCGACTCTACTTTCATCACATAACTGTGAACTTTACAAAAATCTGAAGTCGTGCAGCCCCTAGTGTACACACAGTGAAACTGCAGAAAAAGTTGACGCCTGCCTGTGTAGACGTTACTCTATTGAAGGGATTCAGCAAGCTGACATGGAAAAAACTCTGGATTAACTGCTTTAGGTACTGTTTACATTCTGAATGATGACTTGATTATCATTTTAATGTGAGAACTGCTGTAACATTAAATGCCATATTTAAGTGTGTTCTCTGGTCTCCTCCCTTTCAGTGTGGAAATACACAACAGAGACATTAACAAACTGTGTGTGTGTGTGTGTGTGTGTGTGTGTGTGTGTGTGTGTGTGTGTATGTGTGTGTGTGTGTGTGACTCATCTTCTGTCTCCAAGTGTATTGATTGGGTCACTGACTGATCAGGCATCGTCCAGGTCAACCCCACAGGGGTTCTGAACACACATCTTCCTCTCTCTCTGTCTTGCTCCGTCGCTATCTCTCTTTGTCTGTCTCTATCTGTCTCTCTCTCTCTCTGTTTGTCTCTACATTATATTTTTATGTGTAGTGCAGGCCTGCTGTGTGGGTGTGTTGTGTTTAAACAGGTGATGATAGTGCGGTTTTGAATGAATTATAATAACACACACACACACACACCTGTTTCATGTATCTGCCTCAGGGAGCGCTCGGTCTGCATGACCTCTCGTTACAGTTCCATATAACAATTTTGTTAGCACACAGCGGTCTGTTTATGTTTGACCTCTAACAGTAAACGCACACACACACACAACTCATGAAAAATGCAACACAGGGAAACTGTAAAACTGAAAGAGAGACACAGACAGAGAGGAGAGGGAGAGAGATAAGAGAAAAAAGAGATGAAAGACATGACCAGAAAAAAATCTAGATTTGAAAATGCATTGATAACAAACTAAAAAAGATTAGTGCAAAAGTCTAAAAAATACAGGACATTAAGTTTCATAACATCATACAAAAAAGCTCTGTGTGCCAGTAACATCAAGACCCTCAGAGAAAGAGTCTTCTGTGGCTGAAACACAGACGTAGTTAACTAGAGCTCATGAAGGAAAATGCCTACATTTACTGACCAGCTGTGACAATCTGTTCAGTTATATTACATCCATTTCCATGTGTATACCATTTCCATAGTTACACTACACCCATTTCCATAGTTACACTAAACCCATTTCCATAGTTACACTACACCCATTTCCATAGTTACACTAAACCCATTTCCATAGTTACACTACACCCATTTCCATAGTTACGCTACACCCATCTCCATAGTTACACTACACCCATTTCCATAGTTACACTACACCCATTTCCATAGTTACACTAAACCCATTTCCATAGTTACACTACACCCATTTCCATAGTTACACTACACCCATTTCCATAGTTACACTAAACCCATTTCCATAGTTACACTACACCCATTTCCATAGTTACGCTACACCCATCTCCATAGTTACACTACACCCATTTCCATAGTTACACTACACCCATTTCCATAGTTACACTAAACCCATTTCCATAGTTACGCTACATCCATTTCCATAGTTACACTACACCCATTTCCATAGTTACACTACACCCATTTCCATAGTTACACTAAACCCATTTCCATAGTTACACTACACCCATTTCCATAGTTACGCTACACCCATCTCCATAGTTACACTACACCCATTTCCATAGTTACACTACACCCATTTCCATAGTTACACTAAACCCATTTCCATAGTTACA